TAACATGTTTGAAGTTAATGTGTTGTATTCATGAGGGGCTTTATTCAGAAGTGCATCCAAGAAATAGTGTCAAGCTGTGATATACTGTCAGACCTTTGGTCACTATGTACTGTCCAGTAGAGACCGGGGCTAGTTGCCACAGAGCTGCATCTCAGTAACTATAGAGTTTTAAGTTAAAAGTTCAATTACACAAATGTGCATTTTCTCTAGCAGTTGTTTTGTATGTTGGTTTCAATCACCTTGTTAATTAGAATATTTATTTAACAAGAATATTATTTTTGAAGGTGGACTGCAGGGACGATTCTAGGATTTTCATTTAGGGGGATTTTCATTTTATTTTTTAACTAACAGGGGTGGTATACTAAACCTATATACCAAAAGATGCTGTATTCCACTGTATTCCACTAGATAGATAGATGCATAGATAGGTATAACATATAACTGAATAAGCCAAATACAAATCTTCATGATCTCTCACACACACACACATACACACACCTGTTTACTGCACACACACACAAACTTTTACTGTCTACATTTCTAGTAGGCCTACAATCCTCTTTCCTTAGCTCAAGTATGCAAACCTCTTTGCCACATTCACTGGAATATGTATTACATTGAAAGTTCAATTTTCAAATGAAAATGGCAACATGATATGACATGACATAAAGTATGCGTTAATATGCTTTATTTTCACTGGAGGAAACAGCTGTGTTGTGATGAGGGGTGAACGCAGCGAAAACTTTACAGTAGATGTGGAACCGATTGCTCCCCCATGATATTGTGTAAACTGTTTTTATGACAAAGAACTGCGCAGATGCAGATATTATAACAATCTATGGATAAACACACACCTTGTCCTCTGTCTCTCGGTCTGCAGATTGAAAAAGAATGCGCTGAAAGACAGGGAGGAGCCGAAGTCTGCCACCGTTTTCATATGAAATTTAAACGGGACTGAGGCGATCACGAATTCGTGTACAGTTTATGGAGCTAATCGCAAAATTTTAGGGGGGCTGAGTAGTCATCTATAGCCCCCCTAAAAATGGCCTAGCAACGCCCATGGTGGACTGTAAAGATAGACTGTAAGCAAAGTTATAATTTTGCGATAAGGGTATGTTCTAATTGTGACAACTTACCCAGTATAGTATGACAACACCCATAAAATGTCAACCTTATCCTACATAAATTGACTTTTTCAAAAATAAACCTACCCTGACAAATATTCACTGTCACATTACTAGACATCAAATTAACTCATGGTGAAAACTCCAAGTATTATGAATGATTTTTGTATTATTATTTTTCTGTAATTCTTTTTAGGATCACAAACCAGTTTCTGTTCGTCTAATATATCTGTCCACTGTGCATCTTCACATTAGGCAAATTACAGCCAGCTATAGCTTGTTGTAAAATATTGTCATGTTTTCTTTACAGTAATCTGACAACAAACTGACAATGGATGTCAGCATTACAGTGCTTTAGGTCATTCTAACCTATGTAAGGTCAGCATCATTTGAGGTAACAAGCCAGTCATGGAGGTCCATGCTGATCTTGTAGCCGGTGAAGCAATGAGAGCTGATTTTTCTATTCCATTGTGCCTTGGGGGAAGTGAGGTTGGGGAAACAGGGGTGTCATGTAACAGCAATGAGGAGTTATGTGTTAAGTGCAGTGCTCAAGGGCACAATAGCAATGCTCAGTGGTTGCTGGTACAGAACACAGAGTATCTTGTTACTCAGCAATATTTTCTCTTGATGCCTCATTAGGCTTTTTTATAGTGGGAGGCGAGTGCAATATTTCTGATATAATTACACAGTTAAACTAATTTACTAACTCCACACCATGGCTTCAATCCATTAAAAGATTCAATCAGTTGTGTTTACTAAGAAGCTTAAACTTCCTGGCATGATCAAACATGATAAAGGGAAAAGGAACAGCAGATGGTTAATTTAAGATGCTATCAATTTTTTATGAGTAACCCCCCTAATGTGAGATAGAAGAACACAGATGACTGGTGTAAAGTAAACAAGGAAATAAAGCACTGCTATGGGCCCCATCCCAACATGCTCAACAGTTCACCTTGTGTGGAACATAAATTCAATGAAGTAGACAAACACACTATCAATATGGAGTGTGTATGTAGATAGATAGATAGATAGATAGATAGATAGCTTATGTTACTTAACATTTTCCACCAGTAGAATCGTCTGTCTATAAGTGAGTAACAGCGTATTTAAAATACCCTGTATAATTTACTGTTTCTCGAATATTAAGTATGTCTGTGGGGAAATCTGCCTCAAACTTATCTGATTGAAGTTACTGTTTTCCTGAAAATGTCTTAGATTTCAGAAAAGTCTGCCCACAGGTAGATTCATGACAGGAATTTCTAGTAGCTAGCGGTGCAAAACTTAAAACATATTCCTGGGGAGAGCGACTGTTTGAAATAATCTAAGCTAAAAACAAAAAAGGCATCTCGTGAACCCAGCCAGCAGTTATATTCCAGTGTGGATCAGTAGTATGGTCTCTAATAACATTAAAGAGAAGGCAAAATGCATTAAAAGTGGTTGAGGAATGGTTCATTTAAGTGGGGGTTCAAATTCTCTGTGGAAAAAAAACACAGGTAGATGTCTTCACTTCATAAAAGGAAAGGAGATGACATCAAATTAAAGTTGTATAATCACAATCTAGAAGGGGTGTCTAAAATAATATTTCTAGGTATTTGGTTAGACATTAGACTTACATGGAAAGAACATGTTAAAAAGATGGAGGATAAGTGCAAGAGAGTGTTGAATATACTGAATACTGAATGAGATGTGTGACTGGGCAGGTATGGGGGGCGGACAAGTTGGCATTAAAAATTATTTACATAACGTTAATCAGATCAGTATTGGATTATGGTAGCATAGTATATGGATCTGCAGCAAAGACCCAACTTGAAAAATTAGAAAGAATTCAAGCACAGGCATTAAGGATATGTTGTGGGGCATATAGATCATCTCCTGTTTCAGCGTTACAGGTAGAAGTGGGTGAAATGCCTCTCAATTTAAGAAGACAACAGTTACCTGCAGTATACTGGGCAAATCTTATGGCACAGGATAATTCACATTGCACAAATACAGGTAATAGAGAAATGTTGGGGAATGTAATAGTTTTGGATGGATTGTTGGAGATTTAGATTAGATATTAAAGGTTTAAGTATTGTTCCAAGAGTGACTTTATCAGCAGTTCCTTTGTGGATTTTGCCTCAACCTATAGTTGATGTAAAAATGCTAGAATCTAGGCAGAAAGAAGGTATGAGTGAATTTGAGGAAATCTGGGTAAGGGAATATTTGTGGACAGAGTATGGACATTTAACACAAGTGTATTCAGCATTTGTCATTCCAAAATTGCTCATTTTCAGGAAGATAGGGATCTCAAATAAGTTATCAGTTTTTCTCAGGAGAGTTAATTGCAATAGTGATGGCATTAAGATGGATAAGTGAAGTAGGTTT